AATCTGAGTTACTCCTTCAGTAAGATACAAGGAAACATTTCATTAGCAATTGCAATCCTCGCAAGGTTTATGGCCGACATATTTGGGAACTCATTCGAAGATGGATTTAATCTTCAATGGCGACGAATGCAAGTTCTACTCTCCCGATGCATACCATCTTTGCCAAACAATGCCAAAGGTAATCTAGTTTCTAGTTTTACACTGTTTTTTCTGTGATTTTGATATCTTGTCCATTTGCTGCAACGGATTATCAGCAAGAACGCGGTTTTATGGGATTTTCCCGGCAAGAGAAAATAATTTGATCTGTCAATTTCCTAGGAAGAACTTAGGCGGTAATTGATTGCAGAGATTTTGTTGCAGTGACACTTAAGAAGTAACTAACACTGATATGTTTCGTTACTTGAGAGGTTTTGTCTATAGTACAAAATTACAAATATAACAGATTCTCATCTCATTTCACATCTCTTTTGCTTAATTGATGTTTTTTTTTTTAATTTGTTTTGAAAGAAATAATGAAAAGTAAAAAACATCCACCATTTTCATTTTTGTGTGAAATCAATTTTGAAAAATTCTCAAAATATCTTCTTTTTTTTTTTTCTTTTTTCTTTTTTTAACCGCCTTCCCTTGAACTATAATCTTAACAATAACACCTTAAACATTGTGTCATTTTGCCACAAAATTAGTAGAAGCATTATGAGTTGCTTGTTCTCATTTTTTAAAAACAGTTTTCAAAAAATTCTACACTCTTATTTTTCGTATTTTTTTGTTTTTACTGAATTTTTTAAATATTTTATGCATTTTTTTACTTTTTAGACACACCTACATAAATACACCTAAAAAGTAAAAAATTGTAAAAAAATCTTTTAAAAATTCACTAAATACCAAAAATACAAAAAAATACAAGAATTTAGTACATTTTTGTATTTTTATGTATTTCTTAATTTTTTAAAATATTTTTTCACAATTTTTTTTCTTTTTAGACACATTAAAGTAAGGTGCATCTAAAAAAGTAAAAAAAATATTTAAAATTTTAAAAATATTCACTAAAAACAAAAAAACAAGAAAATTAAAAACTCAATTTTCAAAAAACTTAATCCAAAAAACTCAAACCACTAAAAAAATTCACTTTTCCCCTCAAATTAAAACAATTGTCACTTTGTCTTTTAACTATCAATTTTAATAATTAACATCACAAAGTATTAAAATTGATTCACTTCATTGTTATTATCATTATTATTATTATTATTATTATTATTATTATTATATTATCATTTTTTTTTTTTTTGTATTTACAAAAGACAAACTCATCTTTTGCCAAATCTGTACAAATTTTGTGCACGACAAATGAACTTTATCTCTTTACCTTTAAATGGTCTATTAGTAAAATCATGTTTAGGACAAAAACTAAGGAGAAAGAAAACCGGCCGACATAGAAGATTGGAAAAGTAGAAAAATAAAGATAAATAGAAGAATATGAAGTCATTTGAAAATTTAAATCAAATCATTTATCAATACACAAACAATTGTAGTATTATTACCTTCCCCATTGTATTTGGTATGAATTTAGTTGCAGAAGAAGACTGTTTTTTTTCTCAATGCCAGTTGCACTTATGTGGTCTTTCTTCAAAATTGTAATGTCGCTAACGATTGGGACAAAGTGAATTAATTTCAATAGTTTAAGATGTTAATTCGTCTCCACTTGATGATTCAGGGTAAAATATACAATGTGATATTTTGTGTGGAAAAGTGATTTTTTATGTCAAAAATGACAACTCAATGATTTGAGGGAATTGGACGATTTCAATTATTAAGGTGTTAATTGTTAAATTAATAATTCAAAAGGCAGAGTTAATTTTTCTTATATAATTATAAGATAATCTTTGAATATGCAATTAAGTCACAACAATAATATAGTATGGAAAAATTATAAAATATTTTAATGTTTGACCTTTATAATAAAATAAATTTTACGTTTTTAATTTTGTCAATTTAAATCATAATATTTTGATTTGGTTCAATTTAAATTATTAGCCTATTTTCATTACGTAAATTTAACAAAAAAATAATATTTTAATCATTAAATCCAATGTTGATTTTTATAAAATGTCATAAATATATATTTTTTCATCAATTTAATTAACAGAAATAAGCAGATAATTTAGATTGAAAACAAATGAAAAATCAAAAGTTTAAATTGATAAAATAAAAAAATTCAAAATTTATTTTATTACAAGAGTTCAATTCTAAGTATGCTCTCTTGTTTTTTTTTTTTTTATAAGTATTTTTTTCTAAAAATTAGATTAATAAGTCATATTACGTGATACGTTCCCATTTAAAACACTAACGACTCTTAACTGAAGAAATTTGTCATAAAATTAAACTTTAAGGGGCAAGAGTGACAAATGTTAAACATTGGGACTTACCATAATTTTAAAAAATAAAACAAAAAAGGGTAAATTACACTTACACCCCTTAGATTTGGATTTAATATATATCATTCCTGACGTTTGGAGAGTTATACTGACCCCCTGTCATTGTAGTTATTAGACAAAATTAACATTGGATAACAAATATATTGAATTCATACACACTCTTTTTTCATGCTTTGCTTTTTTACTTTCTTTGTTTTTTTTTTAATATAATTTATTTTGTTTTTTTACCAGAAATTATTACCTTTTATATAAGTTGGAATTTGTGAAATGAAATTATTAACTATAAGTGTAAAAATATAATTTTTTAAATGTCAAAGATGTAATAAATACAAATTTCAAGGTGAAAGTGTAATTTACCAAAAAAAAAAAAAAAACACTTGGGATTTTCTCTAACATAGCATAGGCATAAGCTTTGGTGCTCGCAAAAATGGCGGCAATACTAGTAGCAATATAAGCACAAACTACACTCAATTTGTTGCAGAGAACTAGGGTTCTCAAGCGAACCCGGTTCAGATTTTTCCCAGTTGAAAAGGGTAATAAAATATTTTATTTTTGAATTCGAAAGAGATTTTAGGGATTGTTAGGAATGGAAACCAGCAATGCTAGCGGCTTGGAGCAGACATTGCAGGATGGGAAGCTGTATCGTCAGGTCAATGCTTTAATCGTTGCCCATCTTCGCGACAACAATCTGAATCAGGTAACAAAAAATACCCATTTGTTCT